AAAAAAAAAAAAAAACCAGTAATTTTACTTCAAAGGTTACATGATGTGTTTTCCTTCAAGCGACTTTGTAAAGTTCCGATAAAATACAACTACACTGCATATAAAACTCAACAAACAATAACATATTGTTAATCGCTTTATAGGCCTCATCGTCAAGGAGTTTCGCGGATATTAATTTAACAAAGTTGACTTCTCGGTTATTCATAAATTAAACTCCTTCAGTCCTATACTCGAAGTTTCTTGGTGAAAATGAAACAATTTCCGCAATGCGACATTTTGTGTCGGCTTATAAGTCTTGGCTTTCCGCAGGTCTAATGTTAATTGTTAATAAATCCAAGGAATTCCCATAGATTTAATCGTAAAATGCCTTTTTGATTCTTCGCAAGATTGTGTTACACCAAACACAAAGTGTTGATTTTAGTTCATTAATGCAAACCTTCATATTTACATAAAATAATAATGGAAATAGGGTATGTACATGCTTTTATAAATATAGGAATTGTAAGTGTGGCGTTTTGCAACGTTATAACTATAATAAATGGGTAGTTATTGTGGAATGTAATTGCCTAACAATATTATCAAATAATCAAATAAAATTGATTATGGGTATTCCAATGAATATATTTCTGTTAAGCTCAAAGAAGCTTAATCATTATTTCTGGCTGATATGATATTAAATATATAGTCCGGAAGGTTTCCTTGCTTTCCGTCGGCTTTAGTCCCTGCTCAAAAATGTGTCTTCCTGGCCGTGCACTAATCCGGTATATTCAAATATTGAGAAGAAGGTCTGAGTCGCATTAAACGAAATTGGCATATATAAATCAATTGATTTAATCCGTTGTGGTGTGTTTGGTGTCGTGGCAGTTGCACGTTAGAGTGGCTGAGGTTCGAATCTGGGCATATTTTTCAAAATATTATACAGCTTGTCACCAGGACATAATGTAGATGATACTTGGCGATGACCGATTAATGTATAATTCCTGTGGATTTTTCCAGTGCTCACTCCACATGCAATCAAGGATTTTAAGGAGCTTAGTTGGACTTCACTAGGACTGTTGTCTAAAGTAAAAAAATAATAAAATCAGGCATTTTATATTTCAACATTTTAAATGATTAAAAAGCAGTGGTAGTTACCGACCTTGTAAGTTACCTATGAGGCAAATGCCGATACTATTATTATTGAATCCCACAGCATGAGCGCCTATTAACCCCCATCCTCGACCTTCGTAAATTGTACCTTCACTTCCAATCTAGATATTAAATTAAGCTGATATATTTATTTCGATATTGATGCCTGTCTAACAATTATTATTGTTTATTTTTCATTATTTTATTTGTTAGTTTTCTCATTAATATGTAAACTGATGAAAGCTTATACTGCGTCATCAAAAAAAGGACGAATTAGATGGATTTCTAAGAAGTAGAAGAAGCATGGAACCTGCTTTCCAACCCTATTTTAGTAGTCCATTTTTGAATCGAATGATCGCACTATAGACTTCAGAAGTGGGAAGTTATAATCAATGAGTTCCTTTTTATCTTCTGCAATATTCTTTAACATTAGGAACAACTCCAGCACTTTAGAGAACAGTCAAAATATATCGGGATCATCCTCAGTCGATCAATATACATATAAATGGAATTAATAAAGCACATAATAATTCAGCTTCAAGTTGAATGCCTTCTGATTCTTAAGTTCAATTAGTCAAGACTTATTTCATTGATTTAGTTACCAAAAAATTATATCCAATGTCGGACCACCCATTAGTAAAAATGTGGTAATGTTGAATAGATGAGACTAGTTTCTTGCAATCATCTTGACTATTACAGCTTCTGGTAGCTGAATGATGAACAATGACCAGTGGTGGAGGATTTTGCACCAACTTGGTCTGTTCGTTTGCATTCACCGCTCCCCATGAGTTTCGTTTCTTAATTTCCGAACATCCATCAGTATTTCCTGCAAAAAATGGTTTTTGATCTGAAATGAAATTTTCCTCACGTGGACATCTTTAGAAACTGCCATATGAATTTATTTTGCGAAATTAGGTATGACCCTCTTAAGAAAACGCGCGATAAATTGTAAGCAAAAATAGTTGAAATTATAAATTGAAGGAAAAAAAATTAAAAATAAACTGGCGAAGGCGCGAGCAAAAGTGAAAATTTTCACGTCAAAGCAAAAAAACAACTTGAATTTCGGTCAATTACAATTAAGAACTTTCACTTTATTTTAGAGGCGCTTTAAGCATAACGACATTTTATAAAGAAAATTATTGGATATAGTAGGTAGTTTAATATTTGTACTCTATGACAGAAAACTTTATAAAATTATTATTGCATTTTGGAGTGCTTATAAAAGTTAGACACGTGCTGTTTAAACTCAAACAGTTTGAAAAAGCTGATTATAGACCCTTCGTGTTAACAGTCATAAGCATTAACTTTTCATGGCGTTGTGCTATAAATTACGGGTATGGAATGCGTCATGCAGTACAAATACTTCATTCCAGTAATTTGTAATTTATTCGGATCTAAAGTAAATGTGACATGAAACGCTTAAATTCCTAATTAAAGTGCAGACGCTTAACCAGTTCAGATTAAAGATTATGAAAAAAAGGAGATGAAAATGTATTACTTATTGAAATAAAAAATTACTCACTACTGAACACACAAATTGACACTAAAATAAACACAAATGTTTGAGGGCAAGTCATTCTTAAGAGCAGATATAACGCACTGAAGCAACTAAGCAGGCGGAAACATTTATAAAGCGATGTACTTTACTTTATTATCTACTTTATTTTATTAATGTGCCGGAATAATTTATCTATGTTGCGATTACGTTCGTAAAATAAATATTTCCCTATTTGTAAATTACTAAATTAAGATGGTGATAACCTTTGGCTTCAAAGTGTTCAACAAGAAATTGAAAAAGTACAATCAAAAGTGGTTTTCCCCAGTGGTGATCTTCAAACAAATTGCACGAAATAATTGTGAAAGGAACCAATCAAAAAGATATTAAAATAAGATATAATTAATATACTTATACCGCCTGGAGGAGAAGAGTTAGGCTTTCGTGCGTGGCCATTGCTTCAAACTGGTGGGTTTCTTTTGCTTTAGGTCGTCGTGGAAAATCATTTGATCACGACGTTTCGCAAGCACGAGTGGCATGCGCCTTCAGAAGTTATTTGCTCGAAAGTAGTTGCCATCAATTCAATGTGAGAGAGATGCACCGCCTGAGCACCAGAAACTTATAAACAAAAAAACCGATGCCAAGGGCCAAAGTGGGTTACTTTATAGAAATATAATAAATAATGGATTAAAAGCACAGCAAAATGCAAGACTGCAAAAGAGAAGGGAGGACACTGCAAAAATCTCAATAATTGCACCGAATTTTTTGTTTCCGGGATGCATTATTTGTCGCAATCAGAATTTGAATTGGCCCCCTCGGACTCCCGACCTTACAGCCTGCGACTCATTTTATATGTGGGCACCTAAAAACGAAAGTCTTTCAAATTAAACCACCCAGGACAATCCCAGCCTTCAAACAACGAATTAGAGACGAGATTGCAGCAATTCGTATCAATTTGCTGCACAGAGTTATGCAATAATTCCAGGATTGATTGCAAGAATGCTTAAATCGAAACGGAGGTCACTTGACTGATGTAAAATTCTGAAAATAAAGTTTTTTCCATTTGTAGACCAAATAGCTATTCTTTCACTTTTTATTAATATCTTAATTAGTTAATAAAAAGGTAATTTTATGCAAAAAAATTATTTGCGAAATCTTCCCATTTTATTGCCGAACCCTGTAAATGTTTATGTACATACAAGTCGCGATTCTCATTATATAAAACTAAGATATTTTCGGCTATCCATAAAAAAGTGAAATTACCAAAATCATAATAATAGATTACATACAAAATATGCTTATCAAAAAATTCAAATTCGTTAATTATTTGGAAAAATCGCAATTAACTACTTTTATGTTCCATTCTTGACCAGTAAGGCGAGGTCCTTTCAGTCAACCGTGAGCGAAATTGTGAAATACTAAGTTCGGTGCCCCAGTTATAATAAAAACTAGTTCCATGTTATGCAACCGGTCTTTGGACCTGCATATTGAACCTGCTGCTAATAAATCGACTTTTTTCCTTTTATTCTTCAATGAATCGGAAAATATTGGGTGCTTACCGATGTTTAGTTTTTCATTTCATTTTAAACGCACCACAATCTCTCTCGTAATTGTTTTCATTTACTTTGTAAAGTATTTATTCGCTTCGGCACCTTTTCTTCCAAATAATGTCAATCTAGTACTGAGCAGAGTTTATAAAATACCAAAACGTTCATTCAAAGCTCTCTCAGCACTTAACTTAAAAATCAGAAATATCTTAGAACGAAATTAATCGCAAGTGGATAGATAGTTTAAAGATGTTTTTTTTCTGAAATGTTTTTCCTATGTGATGGTTTTGGCAAAATTGTGTTTCATTTGAGTTCTGAATAAATAATTCACGCAATAAATAAATTTATTAGATTTTCTTAACTAAAATGTAACTTTTCTGTTACAACGTTTGTGTGAATGAATGAAAAGATATATACATTTAAATATAATGCATTATTGCAATTCTATAAAACAGAATGATTTCTTATTTTTAGTAAATAAATTCAACATTACTTAATACGGTCTGAAAACAAGTTAAAATGCACGTTACTGAACATAATTACTATTTTCTGTTTGCGGTCAACATCCTTGTCACTATCAGTATGTCATATGGGTGTTTTACAGAATAAGAAATATTAAAAATTAAATGTATCATAGAACCTCTTTTCTTGTTCATTAATTTTATTTGCGTTCTCTTCAGACTGTATTGTGAATTAAAAGAACACGTTATTTTTCTCCTATGGAAAGAATGCGCAAAGATTACGTGAGGTAAATTAAAATTCATTGTTTAAAATTGGCAAGTAAATAAGTGGCAAATAGTTCTTATAAAGCGAGTTACAAATACCAGAAAATTACATATGTAGCAGGTATATTATATTGCACAATCTAATTTTTCGTATTTGTTAGCGAAAGTTGCCTTAAATGTTGAATACTTTTCGATCTTAAATCGGTAGACTACTTCGTTATTTGAGCCTGTACTGTTCGGTGGTACTTTGCTAGTATCCGATTAGACTGGTAGTTGATTCAATATTTCCAGAATGCATTTTATTGTGAGTTTAGTGGGTTTTTCTTTAGTGGTTGCCATCACCGGTATTACCATCGTAAGTGTTTTATGTTTTTAGTCACATTTTCTTAGCACTTTTTGTCGAATTTAATTAAATTTCTCTTGTTCTATTTACGAGGTACCACTACGGCACATTTATTTCAATTTCTCGTATGCGAATGTTCATAATTAATTAAATATTGCCACTAGGTCAGGCATTATTGTAATTTTGCTGCTAATTTCACTATCCTCATGTTATTACCATAAATAATTTCAGAATGCGGGTTACGATAACTACAATGCCCCATACAATACTTATTTAGTAGCGGAGCCAGCGCATAAAAGAGAAGATAAAAAGGATAAGCAAGACTTTTCAAAAATTCCTGGCATTCCCGGACATGATTACCCCATTTACCATACCGTACCCGAGACCAGCTTTTCATGTAAACATGTTCCTGCCTTACCAGGAATGTACGCAAATGTTGAAACTGGATGTCAGGTACTAATCAATTCAATTAGTCTGATCTTGTATTTGAAATGACCTGCTTTAGTATATGAAATACATTATAATTATTATAGGCTTATCATGTATGCTATGATGGGAGAGAAGGGGAACAAGGTTCCAAATTTTTGTGCACCAATGGAACCCTATTTAGTCAAAAAGAATTTACTTGTGATTGGTGGTACAACGTGGACTGCAAGGAAGCGCTAGGCTTATATAGTTTGAATCTGGATCCCAAGAAAAATCCATACTTTCAAAAACCAAAAGACGGTGTGAAGCATGAGCTGGCAGACGCAGACGTAGAGCAATACATAAAAATTCTCATTTAATTTATTTGTGTTTCATTTTTAATAAATTTGTACTTTTTTTATTCGTCCATGTTTTTGTAAAACTCAACTGGAAGCGCAGAGCCAGAAAGGAAAATTATAAGAGTCACAAAAACTTTTTTACCTGAAGGATCAAGTGTTTTTCAATCAATACTAACCAATGGTTTTTTTCGCGTTCATTGTTCAATACAATTTCGAGACTTTTCTATGTTTTTCAAAGTGAAACAAATATTGATCGTGAGATTTCACCCATTTAAAAGTGACCCCAACAGCACAATTGGACAACTTTGCAAGTTATATATTTGTAAATGTAACTAGAAATACCTGAAAATTTGCTAATTTAAATGTTTGCTGACTCATAATAAGTATTAAAAATATCTGCAATATGAGGCAAATTAAATTATAATCCCTTCTTTAGTTTACTCAAAAAAAACAAAAAATCCGCCGATTTTTGCGTTTTTGTAAATTGTCTATAATTCGTTTAGTTTTGCTTCGAAAACATCGCAATTTAACTTCGTACACTTCATAAGTGGTATAAATTTTAACTTACAGCATAACTTTTTGTTC